CTCCCCTCAGCCCTGCCAGGTCCTGGCCTCCTCTGGACACTGTGGTGTGGGTATTGGAAGTAGAGGGGGAGGTGGGAAGGGCCTGGGGTCCTGCACCGTGTGGGCAGGAGATGCTGATTCTCCAGGGTCCCCACTAGCTCTAACAAGGACACGGGGGCACAGGGACAAGGGATCTGCCCGCACCCCATTTTGATTTCTCTGGCAAAGTGAGCAGAGTGGGGGGACCCCTGCGGTCTGCGTCCTGCCCATGGCGTGGAGGGAACGCCGGGGGGTAGGGGTGCCCTGTGGACCTTCCCCTGCCCTGAGAGGGGTCTTCTGGGGCCTAGGATGACCTGAAGTCCTGGGGCTCAGGGACACTCGGTGCTGAAACCAGGAAGCCCCCTGCACGCCGGGGCCAGGAGCCCCTCCTCCATCCCCAGGGCGGCTGCCCGCACGTGTTTGGGAGCGGCTCCCGTCCGCGGCTGTTCCAGGTTGCCGCCGGTCCTCCCCGCGGGGCCAGCCCGGCCCCTCCCCCGATTGCTGGGAAGCGAGGACCCCTGGCCCGGGACCCCAAGCACAAGGCAGCCCCTGTAATCGGAGCTCGTGCCGCCTGTGGCCGCGTCACCGGAGGGAGGCCGGCACCTGCGGCGGACGTGCCTGGCAGCCGCCCCGAGAACAGCCCGTGCTGGGGGCGGGGCGAGCCGAGCGCGGGAACTGGTGCGGGAGGGACGTTTGCGCGGCGCCTGGCCTGGGCCCCCGCCAAGTGCGCGCCCGGCGCTGCCTGCTGCTGGGGGCCGGCGGGTTAATCTGTAACTCCCCACACCCCTGGGCCTCCGCGCCGGCCGGCCGACTCCCACCCGGGTTAGGAAGCAGAAGGTGCAGGCTCGGGGGGCAGAGAGGAGCCGGGCCTGATCCAGGACGGGCTGCCGAGTGATGCAGCTGGAGGCCAAAGACGYGGTCCTTCCCGGGCCAGCCGACCCTGGACAGAGGCTACACTGTACTGTGGTCTACCCCTGACTCCAGGGCTTGGATGGGGGCCTGTCAGCCGAGGTCTACCAGGACCCTGGCTCACAGAAGCCCGGGAGAGGGTCGCAGCACAGGGAAGGCAGGTCCCACCTCCAGTCGCAGCGCGGCCTCGAGATCTCAGGCAGTTAGCTTAGCTTCTCTGAGCCTCTATCTCCTCCTTTGCAAAACAGGCACGAAAAGGCCTTCCTCCTGTCCAGTAGAGGAAGGATTAAAGGGCCAAGGCAGGGTCCTGAGCGGGCACTGGATGGGGCCAGCCAGGGAGTGCCTCATTTATAAGGTGCCTCCAGCCTCCTGGGAAGGGCACCACCTGGGTAGTAGTCGTGGGCAGCCCCAGGGCACACTGTGCAGGACCCTTGGGGAACCGCAGGATGTCAGCCATGGGGCAGGTGCTTGGCCCCCCAGTGGGCTTGCAGAAGCAGTGGTGTCAGATGCCCTGTCCCCTGGCCCTGCATTCTTCAGCCTTCTGTGATGGATGGCTGACATGTGGCCAGTGGCTTGATGGAAAATTCTTCAAGGCCTTAATTTATTTGAAAAGACAGCTCAGGGTCTCGAGATCCAGGGAACCAGCCTGAGGCAGGTTTGACCAAGGGTCAGAGAGGAGGGTGAAGTCCCAGCCCCATCTTGGTCACCCCCTGGAAGGGCCCCCAGGCCAATTGCCCCATGTTTCCAGACTTTGGATTCCCTGAGGCTCTGGGTCAGGGTGGGCCTGACTTGGGACAGCCATCCCTCCCCTGGGAAGCCAGTTGCAGCACACATTATGGTGGGGTGTGTGATCCTGCCAGGACATAGCCCACAGAGAAGGGGGACCCAGGGGCCAGGTGAGGTGCTGGTGCAGAGGCCAGACACCAGGGGGCAGCAGGAGGCCACAGTACGGATCTTCTGGGTCCGCAGCTCTGCCGCTCCATGGCAGAAGAGTCTGCCCAGAGCTTCTTGAAGCTGAAAGACGGGCCCACAACAGGGACTGACAGACCATGAGGTGTTGTAAGGACTGGCACGTGGGTGGCCTGGGGGAACTGAGCAGGTTTAACTGCCCCCGTCTCCCCTAAGAGCCACACTCCAGGAGGGTGGGGTGGGGCTGGATCTGGGGCTGCATCTGGAGCTTGCCTGCACCACAGCCCAGGGATCAGGTCCAAGAGCCGGGAGAGAGAACTGGGCTGCCTGGGGGTGCCATGCCTTGACTGCCAGGGCTCTGGAGCAAGGTTTTCCTTCTCCCCAGCTTGTCTCCCCAGTTGACCATGCCGCTGGAATGTATGCCTGCCCTGTGATGCCAGCCCAGAGACAAAAAGGCCTGACCCTCAGCAGCTGGAGATGCACTTGAAGTCCACTCCTCACTCCACCCCACCCCCACGCCCCAGGTAACGTGGGTGTGCCTGCCGTGGCATCAATGGCCCGCCGCTCTAGGGGCTGCTCCGGAGCCTTGCAGCTGTCCCCAGGTCCCCATCTGGCCAGCAGAGGGGGCAGAAGGACTGCTCTGATATTCTGGACAGCCACACCTGGAAGCGAACGATTCCTGGCCAAAATGGACACAGAGGACTGGGGACTGTGGTCTTTCTGGGGGCTCAGAGGAGAGCAAACAGGTGGGGTCCTACGCTCGCTGCGTGGGATCCGGAGAGTCACAAGAGATGAACGGGCACACTGCTTGGCAGGGGCCAGGCAGGGGACCTTATCACTTTCTATAAGTGGAGTCCCACTCCTGTGTAAGCAGGATTTGGGGTACTAGAGCAGCCCAGGAAACCTGTCCAAGATGAGCACAGCCCACCTCTGGTTCCAGCACCCCCACCCCCAACTTCAGCTTTCTGCAGCAAAGGAGTACAAAGATTGTTCTTTTTGTTTCCTTTTTCCTTTGAATGTATTTTTAATTACAAAAATAGAACTTGATTGTTGTACACAGACAGATGTTCGCTTGCTTCCAGGCCCCTTGGGGTGGAGGGTTGGGCCTCCTCTTGATGCCCAGCCCCCCCCCCCAGCTCCTGCATGTCTTTGTCCAGGTGAACCCCTTCCTCGGGTGGAAGAAGGAACAGCTTTAACAAGCCTGTTGTTACCATCCTTGATGGAATTCAGAGTCACAGACTCTAGAGACAGTCACCTCCCGTGCTGTAATGTGGCTGACAGAGGGGGAGTCCCGCAGCACCTGGTTTAACTCCATAATTAAACGGGTAAAGTAGAAAAATAAAAGTGGGAACTGAATGGAAACCAAACCAGAAAGCCAGGCAGCCCAGAGGTCCCAGCCTGCTCCTTCTCCTGGGGCACCTCCCCCCAAACGGTGGTGGAGGTGGGGTGATGGGAGCTGCATTGAACAGAGCACCACAAGGTCCGAGCAAGAGGGATGCACAAGATGACCCTGAGGAGCTCTTGGCACAGGGTGCAGGCTGGACGGGGTTCTCCAACCGGCCCTCCTTGACTGCTCGTGCCCAGGCATTCAGACCTTTTAGGAGACCCTGGGGACAAGATGGTCACTAACCAGTGTGGCCTTGTGCCCAGGGTCTACAGGAAAGTCAGTCTCTGCAAGGGACTGAATAAGACCCTGCCTTTTAGTGACCTCAGGCCACTTGACAACAGCCCTGCTCCAGAGGTTCTGGGGTCCCTTAGTTAGCTTCTCTTTATTTCCTTAAAGATAAGAACTATAACATACAGAGAAAAACAAAGCAGTCCACACAAATCCCTGCCTTTGGTACTGCCATCAGAAGCCAAGGACCCCCCAGCATGTTGTCACTCTGGGCACACGCCCTTGTCCTGTTCAGTTTGCTCCTGGCTTCAAAACTCAGAAGACCACTTGTGGCCACATCTGCTTGTTGACGCAGCACCCCCTTCCCTGCAACCCGTCCGACTCTGGGAGGGAGTCTGGTTCAGGTGGGTGAGCCTCACTTTCCCTCCCTCCCAGAGACCTCTCAGCCTGAAAGGGCGCAGAGCTCAGGGCTCTCCTGGCACTCCAATGGGAACCTGAAAGTCTGGCTCTCCATCTGGGTTGCTCCCGGCTTGTGGAGTGAGGGAGTCCAGGCATTTCCTGGTCCATGCCCCACAGCCAGCTGGACAAAGGAAGGTGGCAGAAAATAATGGTCTTCCTCCGTGTCTTTTCTGGTGGGAGTGTGTGCGCGTGCCCCCAAAGGAGCTGTGTGGGGGAGGGGCACGGCCTTCATAGGCTCTTCCAGGTGACCTCTGGAGGTCCTTCCTTTTCTCCTGTCCAAAAGCCTCCAGCCAGTCAGGGCAGGCAGATCCTGGCCTGACCCCATCCCAAGGAGGCTGAGGAACGGGTCAGTGGTCAGTGACATGATGGGCACAGCCTGGTCCCATCTACTGGGCAAGCTGGCCCACATATCGGGCTCCAGACCCCACCTCGGGAGAGCGGGAGAACGACGGCAGGCTCTCAAGGTGTTCCCCACTTGGCCCTTCAGGAGGGGAACTGATTTCTGTCGCCGCCTTCGGCTCGAGGGCCTTGGGTCCAGCAGGTGTACTAGAATCCAGGTGCGCAGACCCCTCCCAAGCACGAATTCGAGCGCCCAAGGCTGCCCAAGACCCCGTCCTGCTCCCACCAGGGACGCACTGGCAGCGGCGGGTTGAAGCCCATCAGCTGGCACAGGAGGCTCAGTGGCGATCGCGGGCAGCAGGGGCCCGAGGGACCTGGCCGGACGCCGGGCCCGCGGGGGACGGTGCCCACCGCTTCGCCGAGGGGGCGCCCGCGCCGCCGCCCCACCACCCCCGCCCCACAGCCCCCGCCTGCAGACAAAGGAGCCGGCGGGAGAGGGGGCGGGGGGATGGGGCGAGGGGGCGGGGCGCCGCGGTGTCACGTTACCGCCCGCAGCGCCCTTTAACTCGCGCCCCGCCCCCGCCGGCTGCGGCGCGCTCGCGGGGCCGCCAATCAGCCACGCCAGGCCGCGCGCCCCGCCCGTCCCCGGGTGTGTGCGCGCGGCCAATGGGGCGGTGCGCGGGGGCCGGGCTGCGGGGGGCGGGGCGGCGCGGCTCCGGCCAATCGCCGCCGTGTTGTTGAAACTGAAAATACTACATTATGCTAATCGTGGCGGGGCCCGCGCGCGCGGGGGTGGGGCCCGCGCGTATAAAGGGGGCGCAGGCGGCTGGGCGTTCCACAGGCCAAGTGCTCTGTGCTCGAGGGGTGCCGAATAGGCCCGAGTGAGCAAGCGAGCAGTCAGGCAGCTCTGAGGGGGCGCGGCCGCAGCCGGACAGGACCAGCGAACCAGTCGTGGAAGCCGTCCACCACCAGCCAGCCAGGTAGTCCCCGCGCCCGCACTCCCGTCGCGTCCCTTAGACCCCTACTTCGCGGGGTCTCACTTTTGCCCAGCCTCCGCCCTCCTCCTCGCCTCTCTTCCTCCTCCTCTCGCTCCCCTCTCCTCTCTCGTTGCCCGGGGCCACAGAGCCCCTGGCCAAGTCCGACGTGTACCTCCACAGCACAGCAGAGATGGAGCGCCTCGTCAGCGGTGAGACCTATCCTGTACTGGTGCGCACTAGCGCCTGCCGTAGCCTCTTCGGGCCGGTGGACCATGAGGAGCTGGGCCGCGAGCTGCAGATGCGCCTGGCGGAGCTGAACGCGGAGGACCAGAACCGCTGGGACTTCAACTTCCAGCAGGACGTGCCTCTGCGGGGCCCTGGGCGCCTGCAGTGGACCGAGGTGGACAGCGAGTCCGTGCCTGCCTTCTACCGCGAAACGGTGCAGGTGGGGCGCTGTCGCCTGCTGCTGGCGCCCCGGCCCCCCCCGGTGGCCGTGGCTGTCATCCCGTCCCCTGAGCCGCCGGCCACTGAGTCCGTCGACGGCCTCGAGGAGGCGCCTGAGTCACCTAGCGCCCCGGCGGCGGCGCCCACCCCGCCCCCAGCCCCGGCCCAGGTCCTGGACCCGGCCCCGGCCCCAGTCCCGGACCCGGACCCGGCACCAGCTCAGGCCACGGTCTCGGCCTCAGACCTGGCCTCTGACGCCGAGCCGGACCCGGACGCGGCGCCCCAGGACGGCGCCGAGCCAGATGAGAACCAGCGCAGCCAGGAGCCGCTCGCTGACCAGATGCACGCGGGGATTCCGGGACGTCCCGCGGCCGGCACCGCTGCAGCGGGAGCGAACAGCAGCGCGGCGATCAAGAAGCTGTCGGGGCCTCTCATCTCTGGTAAGTATCTGGCGGCCCCGCCCCGGTCCAGCCCGGCCCCGCTTTGTCCGGCCGGCCGGTCTCTCCCCAGCCCTCGGGGGCCTCTCCTGGTCCCCGCCTCCTCCCGTGGCATTAAAGGGCCCGCAGCGCGAAGGGCGCGGCTGAGTCCGCAGCCCCTCCTCGCTGGTCGGTGGTAGTCTCTAGCGGATCGAGAGAGCGCGACGGGGGGGCTGAGCCCGGTCCCGACCCTGTCAGAGCGAGGGTTTCGGCCCCGGCCGCAGGAGTCTGTCCCGGGCGCGTCGGGTGCAAAAATCGCGGCGCCGAGGGGGTTAAGTGCGGCGGCAGCCCCGGGGGGCTTGGCCGCGGGACAAGGGGAAATGCTTACACAGCACATTGCGCGGCGACGTAAACAAAGCTGACCCGCCGCGGACCTCGGCGCGGGCGGGGACGGCGCCCCCACCCCAGCCCGAGCGCCCCGAGTCTTTTCCCGGCCCCCTCTCTGGGTTCCCGCCGACCCCGCCCTGATCCGCCGCGCGATGTCGCCAGCAGATTTCTTCGCCAAGCGCAAGAGATCTGCGCCTGAGAAGTCGTCGGGCGATGTCCCTGCGGGGTGTCCCTCTGCTAGCGCGGCTCCTGGGGTGGGCGCCGTGGAGCAGACCCCGCGCAAGCGTCTGCGATGAGTTAGGTGAGTCCGGCGCCACCGGGGGCCGCGGAGGGCCACTCCGCGGGGTCCCCGCAGTCTTTGCTCACTGTTCCCTCTCCTTTCCAGTTTAGAGCCCTGAGAATTCCTGGGCGGCGGATGTTGGAAGACAGCTGGGCCTCGGCTGGGACCGTACATGTAGCAGCAACCCGCGGCGGCTGCCGCAGAGCAGCGATTGGCTTCGTGTTTAAAAATCTGAAACGTGTGCAATGTGTAATGACGTCTCTATATCAAGATGTATTCTGCACAGGAGTACACTGGTCCCAAGGTGTAAAGCTTTAAGAGTCATTTATATAAAATGTTTAATCTCTGCTGAAACTCTGCAAAAAAAAGAGAAAAGTATAAAAAAAGTACAAAAGAGAAAAAAGAAAAAAAAAGGATAAAAAGAAAAAAACCCATGTATATTTGTACAAAAAGTTTTTAAAAGTTATACTAACTTATATGTTCTATTTATGTCCGGGCATGGGCATCTCCACCATACCCTGCCCGGTCATTGGTCATGCCAAAGGCACTATATCTCATCCTTCTCAGTTATCCACAAATGTAAATTGAATAGCGGGCTTTAGGGGAGGGGGGGGGTCGCTCACAAATTAGCTGCCACACATATGCACCTAGCTTGCAGCCTTTTCACGCTTTTGCTCTTTTATAATCATTGTATTTTAAACTTGAAGACAAATCTGTTAAACATGGTTCCCGAGCCGTTTGTACCACTGCCCCAGCTCCACATCCGTCAAATTCTAAATAAAGAGGCCAAAAATGCTGCACCTCCAGTCTACTGTGCTTTTATGATCGTGCCCCCCCAAAGCTGGGGACATAGAACACGGGGGGGGGGGGGGCGGCGGCAAACACTTGGCCCTTGGCAGAGTAAAGCCTGTTGAAAAGGGAGGGGCTTCCTCCTGGTTGGCACACTCACCAGCTTCAGCCCTGCATTTTGGGCTTGAAGACAGATGTCCCAGTTGATGCCTTCCCTTGCTCCAAGGAACCACTAATGGGTACCTGCAGGGATTGGACAAGACCCTACACTGCTGACTGCAGTGCCCTTGGGGTCCTTCGGGTCCTTCTCAAAGTGGAGCCCCAACTGTCCCCAGTTTCATGGGACAGGGTACCCCAAGAATGGGCCACATTATGGCCTTGGTGGAAGAAAAGCAGGGCAATGACAAGGGGAGTATGGCCTGTGAACAGGTCGGGGTGGGACAACTCAAGGCTCCGCCGTCACCTGCGCCCATCACACTTGCTGGGCACAGCAATGGCCTCCTGGTTTCCAAGTGCTCCCTTTGATTCAAAAGGGGAAGTTTATTTTTTTATAGCTGACCTATAAACCTCTGAAAATCGGCTCACAATGGAGAGGGTGATGGGACACAGCAAAGTCAGACCCACAGCGGGTTCTGCTGGTGCCCTGAGGTGGGAAGGGTGAGCAGTGGGCATGATGGGCTGCGTGCTGCACCGGACAAGACGGGGATTGTCAAGATGTGTGGGTGGTGGTCAGTTAACCCTTCCCCAGCTGCCCAAGACCCTGCTGGGGCCAGGCCCTGGGAAAGGCCCCAGGAAAGGCTCCCACCACTACCAAGTGGCAGGCCCTGATGCCTTCAGAAGCCCTTGGCCTGTGGTGGCCTGGGAATCACACCTGAGCAGACCTGGGGAGAGGGGCCCACACCCACCCAGTGGCCTGAACAGAGCCCTGTCCTCTGAAGTGGGGGACAAGTTGTAGTGCAGGCAGTGGAGCTAAGGGTGACCCCAGTGAGTGGCTGTTGTGGTGACAGAATCCCGATGGCACTGTCTCAGGTCCACTGACGAGGCTCTGCAGAAGCCCCCATAGGAAGGGTCGTCAGCCTCTGCCCCCTCTCTGCTTCTCACCGCCCTGGCCCTGGGGCTTGGGGACCTGGGGTGCTCTCCTGCTGCCTTGCCTCTCGATGTTACTTGACCCCGGCTTTCTCAAAAACAGGGAGGGCTGTGGGAGACACAAAGGTGGGCACGGCCTTTGCCATTTCCCAGTGCAACTCCTACTCCAGCAGGAACCCTCCATAGGGAAGCAGCATGGTGATTGTGCCCTGTGTGTGTCACAGTGTGACTCTGGCCCGGGCGGCCCCAGGAAATCTCAGTCTCTGGGGCCTCCGTTTTCCTGTGAGGCTGAGAATGTCTGAGGTGCCTTCCAGCTCTGGTGTCCCGTGACTTATGAAGACCATCATGGGGACGGTGACCATCCATGGCACTGCTGGGAAGCCCTTCTTTCCTGTGAGCTGCTGATGACAGCAGGATGAGCATGTGCCCCAGTCCTTACCCAGGGTGGCAGAGGGCTCGCCGCTAACACCCGTGTGGGGCAGCCTGGCCCCGCTCCCTGGGCATCCAGGGTAAAACTGAGAGGCTGTCCTGTCCTGTGGACCTGGCTGGGCAGAGAGACAGTGGGCCTGCTGTCCACAGGGGTGCTGCTGGGAGGGACTTTCCCTGGGCAGTGGTGGGTAGGCCTCCAGCTGGTGCTCCCGGAAGTCCCCCAGAGAACAGAGGGAGGCTGGGGTGCGTGCTGGAGTCTGAGGGTCAGGATGAGGCAGGAGAAGCGGGGCTGAGGGGTGCTCGGAGTTAGCCCTGGTGCCAGGAGCCTGAGCGGGCCTGCTGGTGGCTGTGGGGCCAGCACACATTTCACTCTCACGTGACTCAGCGTGAGAGTGTGCTTTGGGTCCTGCCTCTGCGGCCTCCCCCTTCCTGTTCTCTGGTACTGGTATCCAGTCCCTTCCTGGGCTGGGTCAAAGGTTAGATTTTGTCTTTAGGCAGCAGGGAGCCCCTGGGGGGGCTGCAGCCAGGGGAGGTGGCTGCTGGGTAGAGAACCAGAGAGCGGGCGGGAGGGGCTGGAGGGGCCAGGAAGACACTGGCCACTGAGGCAGAGGTACTGGGTGGTGGGCCTCCCGATGTCAGGCCCTGCACCAGGCACCAGAGACACAGAATGGAACACGATTCCCTGCTCCTGGGGTAAGCCCAAGGACAGGGCTGTGGAGCACGCGAAGGGGATCAGTAAGGGCAGACAGAGTCGGGCGCAGGGGGCGTGTGCGGACATGGGGCACGCAGGTATCCTGCTCCAGTTCCTATCAGGTGACACAGGCCCATCAGCAGGGCGGGGGTGGGGGAGTGAGAGGGACCAGTACAAAGGCCCGGGGGCTGGGATGGGAGAGGGGCGGTTGGGTGGGAGACCCTCCGGACAGCTGGTGAGTTGATGGGGTGGGCAGGAACTCAGATCCAGGCAGCCTCCTGGGTTCCTAGATGGTGTGAAGTGGCCCTTCCCAGGCTGTGTCGGCTCCCCAGAGAAGCGGGAGCAGAGGACCTAAGTCCCTTCTTTGGGATGTGAGCTGGGATTCCGACCTCTGCCTGTCCTGCTCTCTACCCTTGGCTGCCGGGGCCCCAGAGCACCAGCCGGTTCAGCCAGCAGCCCTGCCTGCGGCCCCGAGGCTCTTCCCTGACCGTCTCTCTCTTTCTCTCTGACTGGGTTTGAACCCAGAGCTGCTCTACCACTGAGCTGCATCCTCAGCCCTTTTTATTTTGAGACAGGGTCTCACTGTGTGGCTGGGGCTGGCCTCCACCTGGTCTCAGCTTCCCGGGGGTTCTGGGATTCCAGGCTAGGGCACCGCCCAGGCCTGATGCTATCTCAGGAGACTGTGCCCTGTTTGTTTTCTGCTGGTGTTTTATGATACATTGTTACTAACAGTGGCGAGTTTACATTAGGGTTCGCTTTGAGCTGTTGGTGCCCATTCAATGGCATGTGTCATCCACCAGTGCAAGATCATTCAGGGCATGTCACTGTCCTGGAACGCCTTCCTGCTGCCCTGTTTCTCCCCTTCCTGCCCCACCCCCAGACCCCTGGCCATCACTGATCTTTTTACTGTCTTCCTTGTGTCCCTTAGTTGCAAGCGCGGCCTTTTCCGATGGGCTTCTTTCTCTTCGTGGTGGGTGAGCAGTTCCCCCAGGGCTTTCCAAGGCAGAAGAGTCCATTCTTTTTGCATGAACCAGATCCCTCGGTCTGATGTACTTCACCATCCTCTAGCACCCTGAAGGACATCTTGGTGGCTTGCTGGCTTGGGCGATTTTGAATAAAGCAGCTAGAGACATCTGTGTGCGGGGTGGTGTGTGGTTGCAAGTTTTCAACTCCTTTGGGTGAATCCCAAGGAGCACAGCGGCTGGATCAAATGCTGAGAGCATGTTAAGATTTGTAAGCAACCACGGAGCCAGCTTCAAAGTGGCTGCGCCGTCTCCCCTCCTCACGGCGGGGCGGGTTTCTTTTGAAGAGCCCTGTTTCCTGGGTGTTTCTCCTCTGTGGGTCACATCCACCTGCTCCTTAGGTGGATTAAAAGACAGAACCTAGGCAGGCCCTGTGGCACACACCTGCAATCCCTGTTACTTGGGAGGCTGAGTCAGGAAGATGGCAAGTTCAAGGCTCACCTGGACAACTTAGAACCCATCTCAAGATACGATTCTGAAAGGGCGCGGAGTGTAGCTCAGTGGTAGAGGCTTAGCCCGTGTGAGGCCCTGGGTTCAATCCCAAGTACTGCCAAAAAACAAACAACAAAACAAAAAAACCTGCCTGTGATAATTGTGGCCTATCTCGGGGTGCTGGCATGTTTGACCTGGCCGGGCATGAAGGGCTCGCGTGGGTCGATTCCTCATCCAGTTGGCCCCTGGTAGATTGCATTATTGTCCAAATATTTGCGCCCCACCCTGCCTCTGCGTCTCCTGCATGTTGCTATCAGGCCTGGCCACGTGACTTGCTCTGGCCATTGAAATGGGGTGGACATGACATACGTGGCTGCCAGCAGGAGCGGCCAAGGCCAGCCTTCTGCCATCTTATCTCTTTGCTTCAATACCAGCAAGATTCCAGATTGGGGGCTGCTGTTCTCCACCAGCAATAGGACTGCTGTAGCCAGTGGAAGACCCTCTACTCTTGGGCTAGTTCCTGAGAGGTGGCGGCTTGTTTGTTACGCAGCATGATATGAACAACACTGACACAGGCAGTTTCTTTAAGGATCCCACTCATAGTTGAAAGGAAGGACAGCTGGGCCTGGTGGCATGACTGGGTCTTCTGGGTACTCCAACCATGTTTTGGGTGTGTTTCGGCAAGTCCCCCAAGGGGTCATGTGTTGGAAGCTAGGTCCCCGGTGCTTGAAGAGGTGGGGGCCTAGTAGGAAGTCTTTAGCAAACTGGGTGTGTTGTTGAAAGGGAGAGTCTGTCTCTAACTTTTGTGATGTGACCTTTCTCTCTTTCATGTGCTCCCATTGTTGTGATGCCATCCACCATGGGTCCTCTCCAGAGCTCTGCTGATGTCAGCCTCATGTCCTTGA